TAGTGGCCTGCATGGGGCAAATTCAAGTTTTGCTTCAATTTTGGAACTTTATGGAACTCTTTAAAAAATATCTTCCGTTTATGGTTGGTTGAATCCGCAGATGCCCAACGTGCAGATAATGGAGGGCCGAGTGTACTTTGCTTGTGTGTTTTCTCTGTATGTGGAGCCTAAAGCAATTTATAAAAAATGACTTCACTTTAGAAATTCATATGTAAGTTGGGCTCGGCCAGCAAGCATCAAACATGTCCTCTTGTGTAATTACAACGACATTTTGAATTGTTAAAGTGCTCTCATTGAATATATTCTGGGTTACACTAATTATTTGTCAGCTATTTAATTATTTGGGCATAAGTAATGAATGAATGTCATTCTGGGAAAGAGGTGCTTCTTCTTCTCGAAAAAGAGATGTGAAGTTACTGTAATTATATCCAATTTTACTAAGTTAAAAGTGGAGCAGAAGGTCCCAGTTTGCACTCAAATGGTTGAAAACACATCCATTATCTGTTTTCTTCCTTTTTGGAAAAAAGCTAATCGTGTTGAATTGCCTTGCATTCTTAGAGTTATTCTCAGAAGACTAGTGTTCATGGAGCGGTGGTGAGCCTATACTATTCAAATGGCTACTGTGTGTTACGTGTACTTTTGTGATAATAACGTTTCTCACAGTGGAACAGATTTGCTAACAGATGTTCTTCTCAATGACACACACTCAGGGAATATTCTGTGACAGTGACTCCGATGAAGAACAGTCGGCTCAGATGACATTGTAAATGATCAAGTTATCTTCACCAACTCACCTTGAGAAAAACCAGTCCAATTTCAACAGGCACAACATTCCGACAAGAAAATACCTTTTAAGTTATCAGGCTTTCTTGCTTGGGCTAATAGGGAACATTTTTATAATGGGCAGATTATAACTATTTACTAAAAATAATATTAACATATACCATACACTGAGTTTTTTCTTGGGCCTAAAACTGTATTGAAATACCTTCATTTTAGTATACATAATCTGAAGAACACTGAGTATTTTAAGGGCTGAAATGTATACTTTCTCAAAAAAGCACCAGTTGTGGCAGGATTTGAAAGAACAGGTTTCATCCCCTTTTTTGTTTAAATAAGCAACTGATATGATTTCTTTGCATCTTTTATTCTGGAAATAATGGCCTCAGATACTAAATGTTAAATCAGAGTTAAAATAAGTAAACTGAATTGGTTAGATATAACCAACAAGTTCTATAGAAACAGCACATTTATTACGACAAATGTATTTCAAGGAAATCATTAAAAATTATATTTTTGAGTTCCAAAGGAATGACAAGCCTTTTTTAGAGATATAGATGCTTGGAAATTCTTAAACAGTAAAAGTGCTATTTCATTTTTTTTTTTTGCCTATCAATGTAATAATGCTTTGCTTATTATTATTTTTAAAATCCTAACCCATCCCATTCTTCCTAATGGTTCTCAGTTTCCATTTCCCTACTTAAGGCAGCTTTTAACCAGAGAATTATTAAACTGCAAGGGACCACAGTGGTTACATAATCTCCTGCCATCCTTTGCTGCACTCCTGATGACAGCAGGGTACAGGATCCGCTGCACTTTCCCCAAAGGCGAGGAGATCTTATCATCTCAGCTCGCAGAGCACTGGTTTCAAACAAGCACAGGCTGTTCAAGATAGAATACAGGCCTTGCGTCGTGAATCCCGCATCTGCTCCTTCTGTACCATCCTTGTGACGTGAGGAAAGACACTAACTTCCCACACCTGAAATTCTCACCTGTACAATAGGATCACAATACCTCCTCTCTGAGTGGCTGTGAGAACAACATGACATGACATATAAGAAAGTGCCTCATGGAGAGCAGTTTCTCATTAAATGTTACGTCCTTCTTGAAAGTTCATTCTCATACTGAGATCAGACTTATAATGCACGACTCCGTTATTTTCAGGAGCTACACAGAATCGGTCTTACGTCTTTGTAACCTGCAACTGCCCTCTGAGCACAAGAATAAGGAAGGGAAGATCTTTTTTCAAATGCCAACTATCATATTCTTCCTACGGGATGGTTACAGTAACTGACTTAGAAAAGATCAATGGCAACCTTCGTCAGGAAAACTTACCTGGTCCCTGTGCCGGGTTGTCTAGTCCAGTAAACATTTACTAAGTGCTTGCAAAGTGCCAGAAACCACGCTAGTGGCTAGAGACTAATTACGAGACACAGTGCCTTTCCTGACAAGTCTACAATCTTCTGAGAAACAGACGTATACTAAGTGAAGATTGCACTACGCAGCGACATGCTAATAAGTTAGATATAAACCGCTAAGTGACTAAAAACCACAAAGCACACAGGAGGCATTTGGGGTGGGTTCTCCACAGGTGGCAATTTTTAAAAACTCGGTCTTGAGAATATTCATCCACTCAGCAAACATGTACTAAGGACCGACTATGTGCTAGACGTTATACTAGGTGCTGAGAATATAAAGGTGGGTGCAGGGGTGGGGTCGGGGGTCCCTACTCCCATGGAGTTTAGAGTCTAATTTATGATTATTCCAGTCCAATGGAATAGGTATTTTAGTAGACTCTAAGAAGACCAGCTTCAACTTGCCCACTTGCCACGTGAATGAGTAACCATTCTGGGGGGTCCCAGGACCCAGGCTAAGTTGGATACTTTGTAGTATACCCACATGATCCAAAATCCTAGAAATAAGCAAATAAACAAAATAATTTTTTAAAGGTTTTCTTTCCCCTTCCCATGCTGCAAAGCTAAGCGTACAGTGCGAGTAATCTTTAGAATCTCAAACGGTGAAGACGAATGGCAAATGCTAAGCAAGACAGCCAACGTGGCCGTCTGTGATTTGAAGGCAACGCTGTGGTGTGGCAGAATGAGTACGAGCTGTGCTGGAAATGCAGCCTCAGGGACAACGCGCGCCTGGGGAGTGCCAGGCGTTGAGTGTGGGCTCACGCGATGCAGGCTGCCTTTCTGCTTAGAGCCCTCCAGCCCTCGTCTGCTAATGACAGGACACATATTCTTCTGCACGGCCACCATCCCACTAGCCGTGGTAGTGGATGGGAAGGGGTGTTATTAACTCAACAGAATACTTTGCAAATCGACTGTTTTCAGGCCTTTGCCATCACATATCAATAAAACTCAGAGCTAAACACAGAAAAACCAAGTGCCTTGAATTTCTCTTCCTTTTGCTCCCCTCGACTTTAACCTTTCAAGAAATTTTTATTTGTATTCATCTAATTTCATTCAAGACTCGCTGGGGTATACACACTGAGACAGAGGATGTGTGTGTCTGGTTCACACTGTAGGAATTCAATCGATCTTTGCGGAGTGGAACGATGAATTAATGTATGGAAAGAAGGCACTAGCTCTTTCTGAGACGGGTGGATTGGTGGATTTAGCCAAAAAAAAGCTAAGCACCTTGCCTGACTCGTACCATGTTCATAGCACAGGGGGGCCTAGGATCCAGGTTTCCCACACCCCCTGCCTTGGCGATTACGGCGACACCATCCAGCCACATCTACAGCACCCAAACCTGAGAGAACTCAAGGCAGGCCGAGGTGGGAAAAAGCAGACACCGGGCCACCTCAGAGGAATTTCACGTTTCCTTTCCCTCAGTCTCTGCTACTCTCATGAGACTCAGCCTTTGTGGATGAATCTGAGGCACCACTGCCAGCTTGCTAAGAACACTAGTAAACAGGACCACGTCCAGCTGTAAAGAACACAGAGCCGAGACACAGACACAGCCTTCCCCAAGTGAACAGCCAAATGGTGAAGCTGTCCACATGGCACTTATTTTCAGAATATAATTCGCTGAGCTCCCAGCGTGCGCTCTGCCAGTGCAAAGGGGTGCAGCTCTCCGTCCCTGCCCCGCCAGCGGCCACAGTCAGGTGGGAGACTGCGGTGATGCTCAACAGGCCAGCTCTTGCCTCCCATGAGTTGCCCTAGTAACAGCTGACCTAAGTCTGCAAGGACAGACAGGAAACAGTCGGATGAGGGGGAGGAGCACTCGAGGCCGAGGCTGCTGCACGAGGAAAGTTCTGGACGCCTAAGAGGACGCAGCACATTTAGGGAATTATAAGAAGTGCAGTACGACCAGGACGAAGACTCAGCTCCTTCGGTGGCTGCAGATGACGCTGAAGAAGTTGTCTGTGGCCCAGGGATTACTGCAAGTTCCAGAAACTGTGCAAAGAGGTGCTGAGCTCCTAGCAAGAGACCTCCATTAAAGGGAGACATGAAAAGCTACTGGTTCTGGCATTTTAGGCCTGTCACTGCTTCCCCCTTCTTTGACAACAGTTCATATACTCTTTCCTTAATACTTTCAATTACTAATACGAAACATCTATCCAGTACTCATCTTCCTCATTTATGTTAACCAGAAAGTTACAGTAAGAATCCCAGGGGTTCTGTATTCTTGGTAAAGATTCCGCCCTCCCCACCCCCTGCCGCCCATTTTCCATGGATGTATTTTCTTTCTCTTATGCTAAGTAAGTCTGTGAACCATATCAAAGAGTTATGGAATGATAAATGGAAAAACTGATAATCCATTAATTAAAAAAACTGGGAACTTTTATTTTCTTCACTGAAAAGAATTTCCACTAAGAATCGGTATCCAGCAGCACAGCTTAAGAGGAAACGCTTAAGGGTAAAAACAGCTTGGTATACGTAGGCAACTGCTTTTTGAATGACTGAATCACTCAGAGGCAACCTGGAGAGGACCGTGGCCGAATGCTACGCTACACGCCTGGGGGGCTTGCCCGCACACCTCCTTGACCCTGGTCCTGAACCTCGCCACCACCCAAACTCATCTTCCATATCTGAGGTTTAAGTTATTTGACGAAAGAGGTTATTTCTTTCACATTTTCTGTGCCTCTGGTACCAAGTACTTATTTAGCACTCAATAAACGTTTGCTAAAGAGCTAAAGCAAGGTGAGGGATATCGGTCACAACACCCGACGCTACGTCTGGGTCACAGATCATCAGAACACCTCCACTTACATAATCTCCATAGGTCTCTTGTGTTGGGGGTGGCGGTGGAGGTCTGTACCCAGTTGGGGGGACGCCTCTTGCTCTGGGAGTGAGAAGTCCTCTTCCTCGACTCACTGGCCCTCGGGTGGAAAGGATTCCTCTGGAAGTCGGCGTCCCTCGCGGTACCCCGACTCCCACTGGCCGGGCCGCGACTCCTCCCCTTCCCCTGCAAGCAAGAGGGTCAAATTAGCAATACTCGTGGTATTCTCTAGCATTCCACTGTGCGCATGCATTTATACCTCACAAAAATCGGTGTCCCGTAATTCTGTAAAAAGAAATAAGGAAACCACATGCAAAGTGAAAACTAAAAGCAAATGAGAAACAGGCACCTACCTAAAGGAAGGAAATTAAGTCATTTAGGCAGCTCGTCCAGCAACAATAAATATGGTAACATCAAAGAAACCCCAGGAGTCAGGGTCTGTCTGGGACACAGGATAGGAAACTGACATCTGGGGAGGCTGCATCTACCGGGCACTCCTCCATCACGTCCTGCCAGGGTCACAGCCAACCCTCACTCCAACACTGTGACCTGGGCCTTACCTGGCTTGTCTACGGACAAGGAAACGGAGGCCTAAACAGATCTTAAGACTGTCTGAGAACACACAGCTGGCACACCCGGGACCAAAACATATCAGATTCCACAAGAGAGGGAATAAAATGAACCTTCCCAAAGAGTGTACCTACTACCTAGGGACTGAAAGCATCATTCTTAGGTTAAATAAACACATGTATTTTCTGAAGTAGAATTCAACATATTCATGTATTTCTAACATAAAATATGAGACATCCAAGTCAGAGAGGAAGGCAGGAGGCAGAAGAGCCCAACATAAGGTAAAACTTGAGGAAGTGTGCAAGTCCCATGAAGAAATGAGGACAGAAGTTCGGCTCCACCAGAAAATAAAGGCATAGCCTGACCCACCTCCTGTGGACAATGTCCTCCAAACAAGGAGAACCAAGCAGATAATGAGGCCGCCTACAGACCAGTTCTCTCTTCTTCTCTTGTTTGATTGGGATAGCAAATACACAGCTGAAAGCTCCAATTTCACAAACAACAGGGAAGACTAACAAAACCAAAAGCTGCTTCTTTGAAAGGATCAATAAAATTAATAAACCTCTAGACAGGCTAAACAAGAAAAAAACAACAATATCATAAATGAAAGAGGGGTCATCACTACTGACCTCAAGGACATTAAAAGGTAAAAAAGGAAGATGAGGAACAAGTCTAGGCCCACAAATCTGTTAACGCTGATGAACCGGACTAACTCCTTGAAATATACAAACGACCAAATCTCCTACAAAGAGAATTAAATAATCTGAATAAACCCATGTTTATTAAAGAAATTTAATCAATAATTAATAATCTTCCAAAAAAGAAAGCACCAGACCCCGAGGTTTCACTGGTGAATTCTATCAAATATTAAAGGAAGGAATGATATCAGTTTTCCACTCTCTTCCAGAAAATCAAATCAGAGGACACATTTCCTAACTCATTCTCTGAGGGTGGCCACCGGACGTGCCTCCTGAAAATTATTTCTACATTACTAGTCAGAGGCTGAGACTGGCCTGGGCCACCGGGGAAGACAGAAGTGACCGGCTTCCACTTGGTCTTGAGCCCTTATGGGGACCTGTCACAGGAGGTGCCTCCCAAGATGTTTTTTCTAAGTCCACCTGTGGAAGCCACAACTGGTCAAGGGACTGGGAGACAGAGAGGCCGAGGAAGGGTGGCAGGGGGCTGAGCAAGGTGGTCTCTGACATCCCGAGGAAGAGACGTGTGGTCCAAGGGGAGGCAAAAGGCATTAAAGACATTATACAATGAAACAAACAAGCAAGCAGACCATAAATCAGTATCTCCCATGAACAAAGACACAAAAATCTTCAAAAACAGCAGCAAATTGAATTTAATAATGTATTAAACACGTCACGACCAAATGGGATTTGTTCCAGGTATGAAAGGCTGCTTCAGCATTAGTGAAAATCCATGTGACCAGCCTGCCAAGAAGGCTTACGAAGAAGAATCGTAAGGTCACATAAAGCAGAAAAGGCGTTTAATGAAATGCAACATCATTCGTGATAAAAACTCGGCAAACTAGGAACGGAGGTAAATTTACTCAAGTTAAAAAAGAACATCTACAAAAACCTACAACTAACTTCATATTGAACGGTGAGAGACTGAATGCTTTCCCCTTAAGACTGGGAACAAGGCAAGGATGCCCAGCCTTACCACACCAATTAAAACTGTACTAGAAGTCCTACCTAATTCAATAGGACAGGAAAAGGAAACAAAACTTTTAAGATTGCGCAGGAAGAAACAAAACTTTGTCTGCAGGTGACATTTCCATGTAAGAATTCCCAAAGAATCAACCAGGTCAAAACAAAACAAAGCAACCATACGAACAAACAGTAAACTAGAACTAATAAGCACATGAAACAGGTCTTGGAATACGAAGTTAATAAGTCAACTGCTTTCCTACACAGCTGCAATGAATACCTGAAATCTGAAATTTTGAAATTAGTCACTAAAACCAACAAGATGCCCTTTGTTCAACAGGTGAACAGATAAGCAACCTGGGGTACATTCATATAATGGAATATGATTCAGCAACAAAAAGCAATGAGCTAATAGTGGTAAGTCATGTGAATAGTATGTTCCCATGATATGATGTAATAAAAAGAGCATTTTATTTTTTACCTCTGTGGTTTTTGTTCCCCAAACCCATAACCCTGGGCTAATCGTGAGAAAAATATTAGACAAATCCCAAAGGAGGGACATCTTACCAAAAACCTGACTGGTACTTCTCAAAACTGTCAAAATCCATGACTTTCACCTTTAGGCAACTTGTGTTATCCCTTTTTTGAGCACTGTAAGTTAGATCTTTTTTGTGTGCGTTTTCCTACTAGGTCATAAAAATCGGTGCAATAAAGCTGGTGGTCTAGAGCAAGGACACTGGATTCAGATCGATTTCCTGACTGTACTTATTTACCTCTGCCTTCCAATTAACATTCAAACTAATCGAGAGTCTGAACTTTCCAAGACAGTCTCCTCAATTGTGAAATGGGATACAGAACCCATTTCTTAGTGTTATGGTGAAGGAAAAATGGCAGGACATATACGGTATTCAGCCCATTGCCTACTCAATGTAAATCAGCAACTTAGATAAATTTCAATCTCTCTGAGCTGTACTGATAGACACTGTAATAGCTATAGTCTTACTCAGCTTTTTATCTCTGCTATACATCTAGAAAAATCTTCAATGTGATTAGAGAAAAGAGTAGTTTCTACTTATGGTACATCTAACTCATCTGTGATATTTCAGTCAATCTGTGTGTATTCAAACTAAATAAGCCTCTGGCTTCTTTATCTAATACCCCATCTCTGCCGTCCAAGGTACTATATCGATCACAAAATATTCAGTATTTCAATAAATTCATGTCTTTTACCACACTGAAAGACATTATATTTAAGAAGCTCACCATTCTTTCTTATCATCATCGACATTGTTAGGTTATGTGCCCACTGGGTATATGGAATCATACTAAAGAACCCGTTACAGAATTTTAGACAAGTCATTTGATATATGTAGCTCGGGATACTTGTCTACAAAAGACACTCTGAAGATTCGTTTTTAAGAGTTTCAAATGCCACGGGAATGGTGTCGAGCAGCACGGTCTTAGTACTGGCGTTAAGTGGTCTCTGGTGAGAGGAAGGCACGACGCAGTGACAGGCCAACGTGAAGGTCCCGCTGCACTGCCTCGTGCTCACTCAAGGCTACAAATGAAGTTCAGGGTAGAGCTGAACAGCAGGGCTCATAACATGGGATGAGAACAGAAGAGTGTCTGGGAGATGACATTTATAACGACAATCAATGGGAACGTACTTATTTTTTACTTGAAAAGTTGATTCAAATTGATAGGATTGGGTGCTACACCGCTCAGAACGGGGATAAGGGAAAAGCAGAAACATAACACACCCGAGTAGAAAGTTTCATAAGCAAAGGGGTGTGACTGTAATGGTTCTTTCTGTCTGCATTTTTCAGCAGGGTGACCTTGGTTTCTGGTTTTGAAACTCAGATGTGAAAATAACTGAGAAAAGTTTTTTCCATGGAAAGAGTGCTTTGGATGATCAATAACTTCTTGCATTCAATTAGGAACTAATTATTCAGTTTATATATTAATAGGAGGTTTTAGGCTATGATGAGAAAGCATGTGATGTGGGTTCCAGCCCACCCACACTCAATACTCAAATCTAGTCCTGTCATCACTGGGCTGCTGAGCCTTGGTTTTCCCATCGACAAGTCCAGTTAACAACATCTAGCTCTTGCAGAACAGTTGTGAGGTTTCCAACTACATCAAGTGCCTAAGCTAAAACAGGCGCTCAGCAAGTGGTAATTACCATGTGGACTTCTACCTGGACTCTGTCCTGAACGCGGTCCTTCTGGCTGTTAACTGAAGGGTGAGGAGAGAGAGGAGACAGAAGGTACAACTCACATTTGTGCTCATCTCATCCATTCAGCGGCAGCACATTTATGTACATTTCATACATGTAGCAACAGTGATGCAGTGTGGTACAGAGTAAGGGTATATATACCACATTGTTTGGCCTCTGTCTCTCTCTATATATTTTTTGTGGTACGCGGGCCTCTCACTGTTGTGGCCTCTCCCGTTGCGGAGCACAGGCTCCGGACGCGCAGGCTCAGCGGCCATGGCTCACGGGCCCAGCCGCTCCGCGGCATGTGGGATCCTCCTGGACCGGGGCACGAACCCGCGTCCCCTGCATCGGCAGGCGGACTCCCAACCACTGCGCCACCAGGGAAGCCCTGTCTATATATTTTATGAGAAGCAAAAGTATATGATAAAACAATGAATTTTGTGGAATTAGCTCAAGCTAGCTCCAGCATTATCAGCTGGGTGACCATGGGAAACACAGGGGATGCCTGGGCCTCAGGAATAGAAAGGCCTACAGCTGATCACAGAGCGGGTGCCTGCCGGATCCAGTGTCAAGGTCTAGCCGGTCTCACAGTAAGAATAAGCTTTCCCAGAGATCCATCCGAGGATCCATGCTTGATGCACTAATGACCTGAGGGCTAATTTATTTTCCTATAGGATCCCTAAGACTTGTGACAACTTTCCTTCACCTCTCTGAAAGCTTAATCACTGAGATATTTTTTT